GCCCGGGGTCCCCCGCCGCAGGGCGGGGCGAGCTGGGGGAGCCGCGGACGCACGCGGCCTCTGCGCCCAGTGGAGGTCCCTGGGGCGCCCAGCAAACTCTGGATTCCCGATAGGTTCTCCCTCTGGGTGACTCCGGGGCGCAGCTTGGCCTTTCGGAGCTTCAGTTTCACTGTCTTTAAAATGATCCCCGGGGTGGCTAATCCTAAAACGTTTAGAACATAGCCTGGCACACAGTAAGTCCTCAGTCAATGGCTAGCTGCTATCATTATCACCGTTGTTACGCATTCAGCACGTATTTATCGCATGCCTACTAGATACCGGGCCTTGGGGATAGAGAAATGAACAACCAAGGCGAGTGTCCCTGGGAGGGCTTACATCAGAGCAGAGCAGTAGGTCTCAAACTTGGGCTTACATCAGCACCTCTCCGGGGGCTAGCTTCAAAGCCATTGCTGGACCCCACCCACAGAGTATCATTAGAAAGGCTTGGGGTGGGGCCTGATAATTTGCATTTCCAACAACTTCCCAGGGACCACGCTTTGCGAACCTCTGGAGTGGAGGAAACCGACCCAAGGAAATGCAAGGACTGTGATAATGCCAGGGAGGGCAGTGGTCAGGAGGGTGAGGGGAAATTATTGGGACAGTGATAGTCACTGCAGTCCCTGAAACACTTGAACCTATATGCTGTCTTCCAAAGGACCCCTTGAATTCTCCAGGTATTACCCTGATTGATGCCCATTGGACAGAAGAGAAATCAGAAGCATGCTCCCTGCAATCTGACCCCCAAGCCCAAGGGGGCTTCACTTACCCCTGTGCCAGACTGAGGGTATGAAGGGGGTGCCTCAAAACCTGGGGTGGGAGAGTGTGGGGAGGGCTGGCTGGCTTTCCCCACCGGGCTTTTTTCTCTATCCTTACCTAAAAATCCCTTATGGAAGGCTATGGATAAAATGTCTTATACCCAGAGGCCAAGCTCCTCCCCTTTAGTCATTATTTCATTCATGCATTTATTAAACGGATAATATTGAGTGCCTACTGTAGGGCAAATGCCATGACAGACATTGGGACATCGTCATGATAAAACCAGATACATTGCCTGTCCTGGTGGTAGTGAGTGTAGTCAGGAAGGCAGACACGCATGTTAAATTCACGTGTGTGTGAAATTAACCGATGCCAAGAAGTACAAAGTGCTTTGAGAATGTGTACAGGGCACTTGTCCCAGTCCAAGGTACCTGGAAGGGAGTAAACCTTCTGGTTACTGACAGAGACTGAACTCAGACCCCCTGACTCACGGTCCAGGAATTTTTATTTTAAAATATTTTTAATCTTTTTAAAAAGATCCCTGTTAGGGAATTATATTTATTCATATCTTTAAGTGTTAAGTCAAATTTGTTGAGGTATAATTTATATACAATGAAATGTGCCCATATCAAGTGTTTCTTTAATTTATTTTAACTGTTTTTTAACATCCTTGAGGAAACCACTGGACTTCCTTTATTTCTGCTCCTACAGTGACGGATGCTGAGGCACTTAATAAATATTTGTGGAATTTAATTAGCCTATGTGACAGAAATAAGAGAAAAGGAAAGAAATACACTTGAAAGTACAGCTTAACACTGCAGTGAGACAGTAATTGTATCGTCTTCTAGTCTTTTCCACATGACGGGTCATTGGGGTTTCTGTGATTTGTTGTGTTTTTACATATTCAGGGCTATCCCAAGATATTAAACTCTGATCCTCAAAGTGGGGTCCTTGGACCAGGAGCAAGGACATTACCTGGGAGCTTATTACTCTCAGGCCTATCCTAGACCTGCTGATTCTGCATTTTTAACAAGAGCTCCAGGTGATTCCTGGACACATTCAAGTTTGAAATACAAATAATAACCATTTTTAAATACCTACCATGTATTGGGCTTTATTTTAAGCACCCAAATACACACTGTGTATAATGTTTATGCTTTGCATTGCCTTCCTATTGTTGCTCATATTATTTCTATTTTAAAGTTTATCGTATTGCATTATTGCTGTCTTTTACATATTTGTCTTCCCCATTTACTAATTATGTTGTCTTGTGCAAATTATTAACCTTTCTGTGTCTTCATTTCTTTTTTCAATTGTAAAAATAGAGACAATAGTAGAACCTACTTGAAAAGATGAAATGAGATAATGCTTGTAAAACACTTAGCACAGCGACTGGCCCATGGTAAGTGCTCAATAAACTCTTATTATTATTCCAAATTTTCAGTCTTATAAACAGAACATGGCAAAAAGCATCCCTGTACATAATTCTTTTTTCAGATGTGATTATTTCTTTGGGAAAAAATCCTAGACTGGTCAAGAGATATGTTTAGAGTTCCTAGGTTCAAAATATCACAAAGATGGGCAAACTTTTGAGGTAGAGAGGCTGGACCATGGCTGACCTCTGAGAACAACCAGAAATAAGCATTTAGCCTGGATAGGAACCAGGCAGATCGTCCTTGCACTCCAATGACCCACATCCCCAAGGAGAATTCCAAGACCTCTAAAAGAAGTCCTCAAAATCTCAGACAACGCCGTTCTTGGCTTCAATTATAAGTACTACAAAAACAGCATCATAAAATGCAGCATAATATTCTACTGAACGAGAATATAATAATGCCCATCTCTAATCCCCCTGGTGTTTTATGTAGGCCTTACAAATGTTCAGTTTTACTAAGAACTTGACAATTATCAAAGACAATGGACAAAAATCGTCTTTCCGACGTTCTTCACAATCCACTCGGATGAAGGAAGGAGCAGTGATTACTGTTAATGTGATAAGTTTGTAGCAGGAAATGCAGACTTGGGGCCAGGCCTCCCTTCTAGAGAACCCCCGCCCCCAGCAGCTCCCATTTCAGCTCTAATGAGGGACCTGGCTCCCTTCATTCACTTTAAAATGTCCCTGTGGAAAGCAAAGGAGGCCCTCCTCCCCCCAACCCCTGCAAGTGAAAGGAGTTCATTAAGTCCTTTCTCAGGCATGAGGGTTCCCGCTGGGAATTTCACCAAGGGGCCAGGTTCTCCCTAGGAGAAAGGTTGACCCTTCATGCTCTGAAATGCCAAAGAACATTTTTTTAAAAATTAAACTTTTTATTTTGAGATAGTTGTAGATTCACGTACAATTATAAGAACTCGTACAGAGAGAACCCTGTACCCTTTCCTCTGTTTCTCTCAATGTGCAGATCCCATCTTGCGAAGCTATAGTACAGTCTCACAACCAGGAGATTGACATCGAAGCAGTCTAGATACAGAAGGAAACTCAAGGTCCTCTTTTGCCAAAAACTGGAAAAAAAATTCTATGGACATTTTCATGTTTCTATTTATTATCCTAACCATACCTTCAATGTTAGCTCTTTTAGTATAAAAGCATATAAAAAAAATCTAAAATTACGGTTGGCCCAAATTCTTCAAAACACCTATATCATGAAAGTCGTCAACAAAAGAAGGCTGGGGAAATTTCTCCAGATTAAAATAAACTAAAAAAAAAAAAAAAATTAACTAAATGCAATGTGTGATCCTGGATGGAGGTAAACAGTTGCTATAAAAGATTTTGGCGCAACAATGTGAATATACTTTATTGAACTGTACACTTAGAAATGATTATTAATATGGTAAATTTTATGTTACATGTTTTTTTTACCACAATTTAAAAAAAGACATTAACGGACCAATTGATGAAATCTGAACATGACTATTGATGAGACAAGAATATTGTATCAATGTTTAATTCCTGAATTTGATAATTGTACTTGGTTATGTAAGAGAATGTCTTTGTTATTAAGAAATATGTGCTGAAAGTATTTAAGGTAGAGGGGGAGAAAGTGGTTCAAGAAAAGAATGGGGAGTATTGCAAATTGGCACATGTTAACAAGTTGGTGACTCTGGGTAAAGAGTATACAAGTATCCTTTATCTTATTCTTGCAACTCTTTTGTAAATTTGGATTTATTTGTAAAACTTTTAAAGAGGTTTAAAGAAAAAGTTAAATGATCTTTGTTCCCATCCTGTCATAAGGGAAATGATTTTCTATTTTAACTAATATAGCTTTGAGTACTCGCTCTGGGAAAGGTGCTGGCCATTTACATGCATTTTCTCCCTTAATCCTCTCAGTAATCCCACCAGGAGGTCTTAATTCTTATCCTTGTTTTTTTGTAGGAAGGGAGATGGGGCTTGGAAAGGCGCTACCCAGGGTCCTTGGTGGTTAGGAGCAGGACTGAATGCACCTCCCAAATGTGCTCTTAGGGTCACTCTGGAATGGCCTATTAGACCTCTTTTCTTTCTCCATGTTGTTGTTGTTGTTGTTAATTATTATTATTATTATTATTATTATTATTATTATTATTATTTGAACCATAGACTCATACATACACTGTTTACACTATTTACAGCATCTTGCCTTTTCACTTAGCAGTCTTTCTTGGAGCTCTCTCCCTATTGGCGCTTACAGACTTGCCAGTTCTTTTAACAGGGCCATAGTGTTTCATTGTATGTATGAGTCCTAGCCAATTTAACCAGGCTCCTATTGATGCACACTTAGGGTTTTCACTATTACAAACAATGCTAGAGAGAACTTTCCTACATATACAGATTATCTTACGAATGAAGAATGGGTCTTAGAATGGAGTCGTTAGGTCAGTACCTTTTATTTGGGAGTTGCGAAATTGCCCGGGAGGATTTGAAGTCAGCCTTGCGGTACTTTTGTCCATTCATGCAACTTGTCTTTATTGAACACCTACTATGGCATCGTGCTGGGTACTGGGAAAAAACAGTGAACCAGATAAAAACTCCCCTGTTGGGAGGCTGTTAAAGGCAGAGGAAATGAGACACGTAAAGTAGATTAAAAAAAAAAAAAAAGTAAAT